AAGTAGATCACTCTTCGTATGAAGATTTTGTTTAACTATTAACTCAAACAATCTTATCTCACATTTAAAGCATTCGATTGATTTTTATTTAAAAATTAAAGACCAACTCGATCTATACACGCTACGAATTTGATTCTTATGGGAACCCCGCATCATCTGACTGCTATAATTTTAGACACCATTATCTTTCACGCAACAACTGCAACAATGCTCGAGGGGAGCGAAGAGTCGTCCACTCAGCAAACTTTTATCGCCTCTGAAAAGTGAACCGCAAAGTCCTATCTACGCTTCACCACCTCATTCGCCGTTAAGTGACAGCCTGATACCCTATTCGCCAACAAACACAAGTCCACCTAGTGCTCAGACCGCGGCGAATGTGATACAGAATCAACTTGGAGTATCATTATTGACTGGAAATCAAAATGTACCATATAAAGTGCAGATCGGAGGATATAATCATACATCGGCTATTTACGAACCGATTAATATAAAGACCGAAATTATAGATAAAAATGAAATTAGCAAACCATTTGAATTAACGAACGAAATGTTAGGTTTAAGTGTGACAAAAGACAAAAAAAATGGACTTGATGAAAAAAGAAATTCAGCCGACACTCATTTCACTAGAGATACTCATATGAGAATAATATTGGGTAACAGTGGTGCTGGTGTTGGCAGAAGCGTAAAACATGCCTCAGATCATACACCTGCTAGGTAAGATTTATTTTAATAATAAATATATAATAATAATAAATATTTCTTCAAATATTTATAAAAGTTTCTTTATATGCATTGCTTTAAATATTAATTATGAATATATGTATTTAACTGCAAACAATTTTTAAAATATACTGGAAAAATTAATTATAAAAGATTAAATAAAGTATCTTTTTAAGATAAATAATTTTTTATTACAGTGCAAGTAATGCAAAACCAAAGCGTAATGGTTTGGTTTCGAATCCAGCCATGAGATTAGTAGCAGGTGTTAGAAATGGAATTGAAAATGCAACTAATAGAAACAAACCTATCACAACACGAGTTAATGGATTTCAGTGGAAGGCTGAGGCACGAAAGGAAACGCCTTTGTAGGGACAGGTATTAATATAATTTCACTTTTGAAGGTCACAATAGAAGTCTAGGAAAACAAATATTTTACATAATTGTAAAGAAGGAATAAATACATAAAAAATCTTCAATTCATATAATATTGTATAAATATTTATAGTAATGTATTTATTATATTTTTCTTTGAAATGCACTGCATAATTTTATTATGCTTCACAAATATACATAATTATAAATTCCATTTAATCACTCACTTAGTATTTAGAAATTAAATTTTTTCATCCCTTCAAGTTTCATTTAATTCAATTTTAATTTAAAGATTATTGAGTGATAAATTTTTAAGTTACTTTTTTTTAAACAGTATTTGAATGATATATGTATATACAATATGTATATATATATATATATATATATATATATATATAATAATA